TCACTAGCACTCATTTTAGAGGACCTGCATGATTTGAATCATGCATGGCCACCCTGAATTCATGTTAATAAGCCATTATCTGCCTATTTAATCTGGCTGTTTATATTGTGTATGCATGTGTAATCTAAAATGAAAGACAATATACCTCATAGGCTTTGTAGGGCACCATTCTGTGGGACATGTTAGACACTGGCAAGACAGAATGATCCAGTTTATATTTGGGTAGCAAATTTTTTTAAATGACCATTTGACACTGGTATGATTAGGGGCCTGGAGGATAGACTATATGAGGAGAGACTCTGGGAATGGGGTTCGTTCACTCTGAGTAAGAAAAGACTGAGAGGTGACTTGATAGCTACCTACACGTATGTCAGGGGTGAACACCAAGATCTAGAGGAGCAATTCTTCAGTAAGGCACCCCTTGGGAGGACGAGGACCAATGGACACAAGCTAGTTCAGGAAAAATTTAGGCTGGACATAAGGAAAAACTTCTTTTCCATAAGGGTATCTAGAATCTGGAACACACTCCCAGCAGAGGTGGTGCAGTCCCCATCCCTGGAGGCATTCAAGAGAAGGCTGGAGAAGCACCTTGTTGAGCTCATTTGAGCCCAATTACCTCCTGCCCATGCCAGGAGACCGGACTTGATGATCTTATAGGTCCCTTCCGATGCTTGTATTCTATGAGTCTATGATTTATGTGCGTGTGTGTTTGCTTAAATGTATAGACTTGTTAAAACACATGTGCAGCATGCCAGGCCCTGATCAGTCCACAAAGGAGCTTGAAAGACTCTTCACATGTTTGCTAATCTGAGGCACTGGAGGCAGAATCAATAAAGCCACAGTCCAAAAAAATTCACTGTGCTCTTCATTCGCCCTTCTGAAAGCAGCTCTCAGAAATGTGTGCGGTACAGCTCTGCGATGTTTCTATTTTTAATTGGATTTAGAAGCTCTTAATTAATTAATTAAAAGGGTGAATCCCAGCCCTGTTGGAGTCAATGGGAGTTTTGCCATTGCCTTCAGTAAAGCCAGAATTTTACCATATATCCTTTTATTCATACTACTCCTCTACTGAAACAGAAGAGCAAGCAAGACATTGTAGAAATCATCCTGCATAAATCTTTCCCACCACTGCCACTACTGAGATAGGAAGGAGTACCTCATTCAGGTGCCTTTTTGGGACCACTGGACAAGAGGAGCTTTTATTTAGCCCGCACCAGGTGAGAATTAAGTAATAATGAAAAGATGCAGTTAGCACTTGCTCTCTGTGCACAGAGTTGCTCCCCCTACCTTACCTCCCCCTTCTGCCCTCTGCCCCCCTCCCCGAGTTTTGAACAGGAGAGGGAGAAGGGCAGGAAATCCAAACGCTTGGAGTCTGTGGGTCAAGGATGCCTTTTGACATGGCTTTAAAGGTCACAGGCTTCTTTGCCTTTATGCCATGGAGTACAGTAAGCAAGCACACTGCCTGGGAGCACAAAGCAGCACAGTCTGACATTTATTTGGCAGTGCATGGCTCCTGTTCCAGAGGAGAAGAGTGAAAACACAACGAGGCTCGTTGCTGGGCAAAGCCAAATGGGGGATGTTTGAGAGAGCGCCCCTGGAGCACAAAGAACGTAGAGATGTAACATCCCCTGGGTCTAACAGTAATAATGCTTGGCCTTTATATCTAAAGTAACCTATACAGAGACTTTACATTTTCAAGCCTCTTGACAAATGTTAATTAGCCAAATCCTGCTTCTGTCACAAGGCTCATTGATTTCAGGGAACAGCCGCAGCATTTGTCCCTAACCCATCTATCCTGTATGAGACTTTCTGTCTCAACTGATGTGGGAAGAGAGTCAGCTTCTCGCACTCCCTTCATAGTGTATGTAGCAAAGATATGGCCATAGACCAACATGTCTACCTTCCTATCCATTTCCACAATGAGGTAGGTGTGGGAGAGCTTCTCTTTCCTTTGCAGTGAGGCAAGCTGCAAGATTGGCAACATGCATAGCACATCAATCTATTCCTACCAGATACTGCTTTTAAAAATGAAGCATAAGATATCCCAGAAGAGCAGCTGCTGACTGGCACCATCGTGAGCAACATCAAAAGCTGAGGAGTCATTTTTGGATGCCCAGTTTCTAGGTAAACTTTGTTAGCCTCAAGTCACCCCCCTATGCAAATTCCAGCTCTGAGCTTTCACCCATTTTCTGACAATAGAAAGAAAAGAGCAATTTTTCTGTTGCAAGTAACTCAGAAAGACCACAGCAGGTCAGAATGTTTCTGACACTATGGATTCGTACTGAAATCTCTGGGTTTATCTTGTGAATCGGGTAGGTGTTTGTACACCTAATCTTGCACAGTACTCCACAGTACCCTTTAAAGGATCTCATGGCAACCTGGTTGAGAATCACTGACATAATATAGAGTATGCTGTATGAAATACAGTGTTTTGGGAGCTATCACATGGGCAAAGCCAGCACATTGACAGGAAAAGGTACTAGTGTGGGAATGAAAAGTAAGCACTTACCTCACAATATAGTGCCTCGTAGAAATAAAAACACCTAATAGCTCTTTGAGCTAAAAAAACCCCCATTTTTAACAAAGCTTTACATATTTCTAGATTTGAATAATCTGTTCTGTGTTGTGTTTTATTGGGCTATTCTATTTTATTATTAGGTATGGCTACAGAGCAGACTACACTGCAGTGTTGAGATACCCAAGCCAGCCTGGGGTATGGGAAGTTGTCTCCTCATGGCAGCAGCAGAGCTCAACAAGGGCTCATTTACCATGCTTCCCAGTGAATGATCCTCCAAGGAGCTCTTGCTGTCATGGCTAGATTGGTTCCAATACACAGGTCAGCTCATTTAAAGCTAGCACGGGTATCTCTCCTCTGCACTGCAGTCTGCAACATAGACAGACGTATTGTTATAAGCCATTGGTTTTCTTGTTGTTCATTTCATTTTTACAGTCCTCTCTGTTTCCTTAGATCTTGTAGTCTACATGAGATTTTCTGTTCTGGAATCTTCTGATCTAGGACCACATTGTAAAGTGTGGCGAATTTTTGTAATTGAATTAAATGTCTGTAGTAAAAAAAAGAGCCAAACATTGCAAAGTTCCATGTAGGTTTCAGGAAAAAACGCATTTATAGTGCTAAAAACAACTGTATGCGAGTAGACTGAGCTTCAGGGAAAGCCTGGTTTGAAATTAAAATCCGTCTAGCTCTTTTTCCTGCCTCCTACCCTCTCCCACCATGTAGCTTTCGTTCTTTAAGGCCTGTAGACTTTAGTTTCTAGATTGGTGGACCCATATCTGCCTTGGCATTCATCTGCCTGCTGCAGCTTCATGTAAGGTTTCCTTTCTGCACTGCTCTGGTCCTAGGAACCCTTTTATTTAGTTAGTTTGCTTTTTAAAGCCCTCAGAGTTGAGGCTGAAAGGCCTGAATTGCTGGATTACAGGAGGTATTGCAGTTCATTCTCCTCCCCTGTCAGTGCCAGCTTTCCATTTTATCTTTGGGGCGGCAAAGCCAAGCTTGTAATCAATAATGTTTGGAGAATGACTAACCACAAAGAAGCTTTCTCTAAGCAGATTGGGTCAAATCAATTCCTGATGTAATCCTGTTGCTGCAAGCAGAGTTACACCAGAAATGAATATGGCCTATGCACTCTTCTGACCTGTACAATTTGCTTTCCCTGAAATATATGGCTCTTCCTGTTTTGGACTATAAAGTAATGAGATCTTTCTCCATTACCTGAGGAGTATACTCTGTGGCAAATGAAATGTAGACACCTGACACTCTGTATTTGAGATTTAAATCTGTTATGGTTGAGCAATTGTTTTTTCTAGACAGGAGGCATTATGGACTGTCATTTTTGGTTTGCTTTTTAAAGTCACCCTCTTATCAGTGCTCAAAATTTTTATAAAAAAAGAAAAAATCCCTCCCTGTTATATCCCTCCATGTTTAAAATTCTTTGTTGGAAGCTTAACAGTGAAATTGGTTTCCTCACCGTGTCCTCTTGTGCCCTGCCTCCTCTGATGCAGCCTCGCTCTGTTTATTGCTGGGCTGCTTTTGAGTGCTGGGAATACTGACATTGATTTTGTGTAAGAGAAAAGCATTTATTCTGATGGGAGGTGGAAAGTGCGCACACAGATTTTGCAATCCTATAAAGAAATGGGAGTAAACAATAAAGGGGTCATGTTTTAGACCTAAAGGGTATCCATTTTAAGATGGCAATGGCCTTGGAGTAATATCAGTGATTTCATTGGTGGTATACCAGTGCTGAATTTGGCCCCAAAGCCTGTTTTATACTATAGAGTGAAGAAACATGAACACAGCTGACAAGATTGTGTACGGACATCCAATTGTGCAACCCTGGTTACTTCAATATAACTGTATGAGAGAGTTCTGGTGGCTGCTGGAATAACACCTGATAAATACAGTCCAAAAGACATCAGAAGGTTGCAGTAATGTATCAAATTAAGGGATAAAATGTTTTCTTCTAGCATTTGCTTTACTGAAATGTAATGTCTTAATTCAAAGAGCAGAGTTCGCTTTATAAATCAACTAAGTAGGAAATTTGGCATCAGGTCTTGATCAGCATGGATATGAATGCTATCTACTTATGTGGAAACCAGAACAGATGACTTCTTTTTAGTCAAAAGGCATTTTAAGAACTTTGGGTCTGTTTGTACCAGCAACCATGTGCCTATCTTACACATACACTTTTTGTCAATATGTTGTACAGGGGTCAGCAACCTACAAGAGATTTTATCCAGCCCAACCAAGTGCTTGTGCACAAAAATGTGCCATCTAGTGACTGCCTGTGACCTGAAGAAGACTGAGCTATGTTAATTTAGCATGCCATTAGTAAAAGATTGCTGACCCCTGAGCTAATACCTAGCAAGTATTCAGAGTGTTGATTCAGGGAGCTGAAAATGACCCTCTGGTGATATAAGGAATGAAAAGGTTAGTTAGGAATAATTTCCCTGCAGTCATGATTGTTTTCTCATTCTCTCTGCAGGTGAGAAACCATACAAGTGCTCATGGGAAGGGTGCGAGTGGCGTTTTGCACGAAGCGATGAACTCACGAGGCACTACAGGAAACACACAGGTGCAAAACCCTTTAAATGCAACCATTGTGACAGGTAATGCAGACTTCTAAAAATGATGTTCAGATAAATATAGTGGTTGTGAAAGGCACTGCACTGCCAGCTCACCAAGGACCAAAGCCTCTGGTTTTCCATAGAGAACATCTGGCAGCAGGTAGTAGGGCCTTAAGTTACCTTGCCAATGTGCCTTTATCCCCTGATCTACAAGGAGGAAACCCCTTCTGTGGGATTTACCATATATATTTCAATTGCTAGCTTGTCAGGCTGCCAGGCAGTTGTGGTGATGACTTAAGCTACCTTGGGTGTGCATCTGGGAGGCAGAATGGGAAGGAAAGAGGAGTTCTGAAACTGGATGCTTACATGCTAGGGACTGAACTAAGATTCAACATTAATTCCTACACCTTTTTTTTTCTCCTTATTGATGCTTAAAGCAGACACAGATACATGGCCAGATCTTGGTCCCAACAAAGTCAGTGGGAACTTGGGTCATTGACTTTGATGAAAGCAGTATTTGAGACAAAGTACAACATTACTCTTTAAAGGATTCTCAGGTGCTGCATTTCTGAGCATCAATGAATGATCTAAAAAGCCCCAAAGATAGCCTATGAAGCTCTGTGTTGCCCTCTATAACCCACCAGCAGATCAGCACTGTAGCTTTCCTTCTCTGTGATCATACATGGCTTTGACAACAAAGACTGAGCCCTCTCTCTATCTTTCCTGCTTACAAAAATGTTTCTTAAGCCCCACCTCTTTGCTTCCTGGTCCGTGTAATGGACATTACCAAGGGGCTGTTGAACCTCAGAAACTACTGGGAGAGGTGATTCACCACAGCAAGTAGGTGAGAGGGAGAGGTCACAAATTCTCAAGTGTATGTCTAAGGTACCCAAAAGTTTAGACAATTCTGGGGACTGATAGCATTTTTCTCTCCCTGTGCAGTCAATTTATCATTAACCTTCTATTTAAGTTAACTTAGCATCTTCCCCTATATATTTGCTTCTCCCTCCTTTTAGAAGCTTAAGAGACAGTTCCTAGAAACCAAGAGCAACCTTTGTAGAACTGCCTAAATGTTTTAAGCATACTTGAAAAGGTTTACCCCAAGGTTTTTAAAACAAGAATGATGGATCTACATAATTTCACACTAGTTGAGAGTCTCTCTCTTGATCCCATACTTGAGATCATTTTAGATAAAGGAGGTGCTCTGTATTTCATATTCTGTTGTCTCTCTTTTAAAGTGCAGTAAGTTTCCAGAGCCAGGTTCCCCAATGAGCTCCAGACACAACTCTTATATGGGAACCTGATTTTCAGTTGGCCAGATTTTGTTACAGAGCTGTGTGCTCAGCAGCTGTTACTGAGAATGATAGGAGCTTCTGGGTGCCGATCGTAGCAGCCTGAATGGAAGTTGGGCTCATCTAAAAATCTGATCCTAACTGTAGGTGCTAAGTATTTCTGAAAATCTGGCCCAGCCAGCTTAAAATACTACTATTACTATTACTACCACTACTAGTAATAATAAACAATTTTGATGGAGCCAAAAGAGACTAGCCCAGCAATCACATCTGACAGCACTAACATTATCCAACAATAAAAAGTGTCCAGGGTGGAGACTGACATTGCCCACAGTGAAACCTGGATCCAGTTTAGGTGTAATCAAATGATGTGGTTGTATCTGAATAGGTTATCCAGCTAATTTTATTTTTATATAAAATACTTTTCCTATTTCAAAAAGAAATAGGATTAGCTGGATAACCTGTTCAGATACAAGCACATCATTTGATTATGCTTAAACTGGATTCAGGTATGCATGCGAGATATGTATAATATATATTTTAAAGAAGCTTAAGAAAAATCACCTTTCTAATGCAGCACAAAGGTTTCTCCATTAGGCTAAGAAAATGCTTTGCAAGACAATAACTGCCCTAGAAAGCCTCTAGGCAAGTCTGGCAAAAACTATGCATGGACAAAGGATGCACAGGACATAAACAGGGAACCCATCCTTGGATAGGAAGGAAATTTGATCATTTTCACGTCCTGTCTTTCCAAGACCTTCATCTGAGCAAGTTTGCCCCCCTCCCAAGGGCTTCCTCTTGGATTCACTTTTGCTTTATCCCTGGATTATCTTTTGTTTGTTTAGAATGAGGGACAGGATAAATGAAGTACAGGCCTCTGGAGTCTTGCCTTTTATAAGCATCTTTACTTATGGAATGCTCTTACAAGTGGAAGAGCATTTCTGTTCTCTAATTTTAGCATAGGGGTGCTTTCCTCTTAAGAAAGTAGCATTTCACCCCTTGACCCTGCTCCCCAAATGAACTCCTGGTTTCTGTGATGGAATGGCAACCTTCTTATGAGAAATCCAAGGAGAACTTGTGTAAGGGACAAGGAACTAGATCCCAATGGTTTGGGCCAAGGTTTGGGACCAGGCATTAAGCTAAAGGCCAGGAATGAGGAAGCAGACCAAGGACTAAAGAGAGGATTAGAGCAGTGGCTAGAGATCTCTGCATTGACCAAGCTGAGCAGTAGTGCCAGGTGCAGCCCCACCAACTGAGTTGCTGTTCTTAGCAATCAAATCCTCAACTAGTCTCAGTTACCTCAGACGTAGCTGCAAAGGCAAACTCATCCAGCCAGTGCTTCCACAGCCACAGTTGAGCCAGACCTGTGTTCAGGCTGGCTGTCTGATAATCTAGACATGGTAGGTCTCGACTTCCCCACCCTTGCCCAGGGTGTCCCCTCTTTTCCTAGTCATCAGTTTTACATCAATTCTGACTTGGGTTACAACAGGTTTACCACCCCTTCTCCCCTGGATGGGCTGGGGCTGAATACCTTGACTAGAATGCTAACTGGAACTCAATAAAACTTGAGATGAAGCTCAAGCTGGTCCTGGGGAAAGAGAGAAAGAAAGATGGAATGACTGGAACTTGAACTGGAGGCTTAGAACAGGTACTTAGAATTAAGCGGTGCTTTGGAGTTCAGATCTTGAATGAGAATTGCAGGAGTCAGATGGATATTCTGGAATTTGGATCTCAAATTCAGGCACTCCGGAAATTTGGCACTCTAGATCTCTCCTGGCACCCCAGGTCTCTGGAACTTGAAGTGAACCCCTAGCACACAGACAGGTATTCTGGAGCTCAGACCTCAGAATATTTGAACCTCTGGAATTTGGTATGCGGGAGTTCTGGCCTCTGAGGTGTAGATCTAAGAACTGGTAGTCGGAGACTCGGCCCTCTGGAACCTGGACTGGGATTCTGGAGCTTAGCTCCTGGAACTGGTATCTCAAGATTAGTACCTGTACTGCAGAACTGGCTCTTGGGAGCTTAGTGGTACTCAGGAGCCCAGACTTCTGCAACTAGCAGTGGAATGGTGATGCTTTGACTGGTACTCTTGAACTCAGAGAAGCACTCTGACTGGAACTCCAAATTTTAGACTTTGATATAGAACTCTTGACTGAGCCGGTACTTGGACTTGTGTCCAGACTGTAACTAAGATTTTGCAGCATACGTTGAACTTCGACTGGTGCTCTGGAATGCTGATCTATGGAACCTGGACCTCTGGGATTCTGTATTCTGCCTGAAACTCAGAACTTGTACTCAGAAGCTTAAAGCAGAGCTCTGGAACTTGGGTCTTGAACAGGAGCGCTGTTGGAACACAGTGTGGTACTCGGAAGCACTGGCCTCTGGGACTCAGACCTCAGAACTGCCACTCAGAAGCTTATTCTGGAACTGAGAGGTACTCAAAGTGGAACTCAGTCCTTGAAGCAGAACGGATACTTCAACTCTGGCAGAACTGTTACTCAGCACTTTGGTTCTCTGCGACTTGGAGCTGGAACTCAGGAGTTCAGTACACTCAGCAATTCAGCACTCTGGAACTTACACTGGTACTCTGGAGATCACAGCAGCATTCGGACTGGTGCGCTGAAGAGCAGACCTCTGGAACTCAGTGCAGAGGTCTAGATCTGAAAACTCGAACTCTTGCTGGCACTCAAACCCTGAAGCAGAACTCTGGAACTCTTATCTGGACTTTGGAAACTGAAGTGATACATGGACTAGTACTCTGGAACAGACTCTCTGGAAGCCACACTGTCAGATGCAGAGCTTGAACTCTGACTTGTTCTCTGGAATTTATATCAGTTGTCTGGAGAACTCAGACTTCTAGTTTTCAAAAGCAAAACTCTCTGGAGCTTGGAACACAAACTGCTGTTCAGAGTGAACTTCTGGAACTTAATACTTCACCTGGCAAAGGTACTCTAATGCTCTGCAACTCAAAGTGGAATTTAAACCCAGACGGTTACTTGGACTTTGGACATCTGGAACTCTGAGACTTAGGATTTGGATCAGTACTTTGGAGCTCTGGCCTTGAGAACTTGGACCTCTGGAACTGGCTCTCTGACTTCCGGAGTTTAAAGACAAACTTTGGCACTTGGATTGGTACTCTCGAGATTAGCGTGGCCGTTGGACTGATGCACTGAAACTCAGAGCAAACTTGGCGCAAACCTCTGGAGCCCAAACTCTAGAGCTCAAAGTAGAACTATGGAACTTGGACTGGTACTCATGAACTCACCTTGAAGCAGAACTCTGGAGACTGGACTTGCATTCAGACTGCTACTTAGACTGGAAACAAGACTTTGAAGCTGAATTTGAAAGCAGATGGGTACTCTGACGCTCTGGAACTCAGACCTCAGAATGGTTATCCAGGCCTTTGGATCTCTGGAACGTGTTAACTCAGACTTCTGGAACTTGAAGCAGAGCTCTGGAGCTCATACCGAGATCTTAGGCTGGTACTCTGGAACTCAGCACGCAGCCCTGGTCCTCAGATTTCTGAAACCCCAAGCAAAAAACTCTGACACATAGGCCAGTCCTCTTGAATGTGAAACAGTACTTTGACTGGAAGGAAGTCAGCTTGGTATTCTGGAGCTCAGATATATGAAACTCTGGAGATTGAGCTGGTACTCCAGTTAGAGTTCTGGAACTTAAACTTGTGCTTTGGAGATCTGATTTCTGGAACTCAAAATGGATCTCTGGCACTTGGACTGTCACTTTACACCT